CTTGCTTCTACGCATGGCCTCTGCTATTGGTTCTCTCCCTCAGCGCCCTGAAACGACAGAAAAAAGCAATCCAGTTCCAGAAAATTCGGAGGCAAATGGAGGCTCCAGGTGCCCCGCCCAGGACCCTGACGTGGGAAGCCATGGAGCAGATCCGGTATTTACATAAGGAATTTGCAGAATCCTGGTCAGTTCCTAGATTGGCTGAAGGCTTTGATGTCAGCACTGATGTGATAAGAAGGGTTTTAAAAAGCAAGTTTGTACCCACATTGGAACAGAAACTGAAGCAGGATCAAAAAGTTCTTAAGAAAGCTGGACTTGCCCACTCACTCCAGCAGATTCAGGCCTCTGGGAATATCACTAAGCCGCTTTCCGTCAGCTACTCTGTATCAGGCTCTTTGCTGATACCAGAGGGTGAAGCCTCATCCAAAGGCCAGAGTTGGCAGCACAGCCTTGAAAGTGATAGAGTCAAACATTCATAGTACAAATACACCAAGGAGACAGAGGAAAAGGAATGAAGGAATCCAGAGCCTGGAAGAAATAAAGAAGAGCTTTGTGCCTGGAGCTGCAGCCCTGGGTCATCAGAGGGAGTTGCAGAAGTACTCCACCAGTAATCGTGAGGGCTCTGGAAGAGCTGATACTGATGGCTTGCCAAGTGATGAGAAGCTGGAGGAGTTGAAGATTGAGGCGCCAACTACCCAGAACTTTACCACCAAAGTTGTGCAGAGGGGGCGAGAGTTCTTTGACAGCAATGGGAACTTCCTATATAGAATTTGAGCTGGGGCCTGCCTTGTGGAGCTACTGTGTGAAACAGCTGGCTAAGTGTATTTGGAGATATCTGGGTTTCTGTTTATGGATTAGCCACCTTAGAATAGGAAGTGGTGATGGGCCTGGAATATGAGTGGGAAAGAGCTGCTTGGACTTGAGTCTGACCAAGGGCAGTGAACTTCAGGACCAGTGTATACAGAGCCAAGGTGAATGGCAGGCTGGATAGATTGAAGCTTCCTGGAGCATTGCTTCAGGTCTGACCCTTGTGGATCTTCCTATTCACCCTTGCTTGGGCTCTCTGTGTTGAAACCAGCTGGTGTTGCATGTGTTGTGAGTTTCTGTGATATTTGCAGTGTGTATTTGGAAGGAAATGAAAAGTTTGCCTTTTGACCTCATTTCCTTTTTGATTAATGAATACTAGCAGTTCTGGAACTGCTTAATTGGTTGTTTTTTCGTGCAAAATAAAGTAAAATGTAGCAGTGTTTTAAAAAAAAAAAAAAAAAAAAATGATGGCACCCTCCGGACCAGCAAAAGTCCACAGCTCAGCCTGCCTTTCTCTTCACCTTCTCGGTTTAATCCCCAGCCACCAGAGCAGTCCTCTGTGCAGTCCCTGGCTAGCAGGACTGATTTTTAGGTTAATTCTTAGCGCCTACCTCCACTTGGGAATCTCCAAGCTGTCTGTGCCATCAGGATTGCTCAGGTTCACTGTCAGTCTTGAGCTCTGTATGTCTCCTTTTTTGGTGTTTTCATGCAAATTCTTCTGCTAGTTGGGGTTTAGTCCACTTCTGTATCCTTCCCTTCAAGGCTCAGGGGTCCAAGATTATCTTGTGTGTCTGTGTTAATTGGTTTCCCTTTTCTTTGTTGAAGAGGGTCTGTGCAGTCTTTCTGCCTAGTTCGCCATCTTGCTGGAACTGGGACATAAGAATTTATTAAGATTTTTGCAGAGAATGAACATTTGCAATTTCAATTTTAGATTTCTGGGCAAGAAAATGGTTTTCAGTTTAAAAACCGAAAAGTGTAATATGCATGCTTAAGTGCGTAGGGGAAAGTTTACTGATGTCTGCCATTTACTTTGAAATTCACCAGAAATACAATTCACAGATGTGAATAATTACAAGAAGGATGATTAGGTAGAAGGATATGCTGTAATGCAAGTATAGTAAAATATTAATGTTAAAGTCTAAGTTGTACAATGTAAAATCCTTTTTAACTTCATTGTATTCTTTAAAAATTCTGTAATAAAATGTTGGAAGAAATAGTTAAAAAAACAAAACCAAAAAACTTCTCATACGTCAAAGTGCTAGTCCTCCAAATGTTCTCCTCTTGGAGTTATCCAGACCCTAGATCATGTAATTAATTAATTTACTAACTCATCACTTAACAAACATTCACTGAGCATTTTGTATGTATACCAGTAAGGTACTGTAGTTAAAGTACAGAAAAGTTCTGTTTAGTATGGGCATAGGACATATGGATAAATACTTACAGTGTAGTGGGTTATGTCCCCTGACTTGGAGGCTTAGGAGAATTCTGGAAAACGTTGTCTAGAAAATTCAGAGAAAGTTTTATTGTTAATACATATATGTGTGTGTGTATATATATATATTTATGTGCCCAGAAATCTGAAAGTTTACTTAGTAAATTCATTTTTCATTCAACAGTTCATGTGCATTTTGTTTCATGACATTGATTGTAGTCCTCATAATGTAATAATGCAGCTCTCTTCCCACTTCCTCCCTGTATCCTTCTCTCCTATGCATTCCTGTCCTTTGAGCTCTCCCTGTGCAAAAACTACCCTTCTGATCTCCCATGGTTGATTGTTCTAAAGAATGTAGCTACTTGATGTAATGTTCACCTTATACACCTGTCAATTTTTTGCCTGGAAACCTCAAGAATGAGTTCAATTCCAGGTCTGAAGGGTGACTAGGGGCCATAGTTTTGGGTTTCATCACTCTCTATCTTACCAATAAGCCTGGCCTTTTTTAAAAAAAAAAAAATTATTTTTTATTTTTGTAGTTTTATTATGATTAAACAGAATTTTGGAGAATGAATAGGAGTTTTCTAAATTGAGACTAGGGTAATGATATCCCCAGGAGAGATCACACTGTGTCCAAAGGCCCAATGGGCTGGGAGAACATGGGAGTGGTGAAAAGCCTAAGATGGTTAAGTGCTGAGTGTATTCCTGCCTAATCTGACTCCTGAATCTTTTATTAGCATTATGCCTCCTGATAGCCATACCTCTCTAATTACTTAATTGCTGGTACCTGAAACTGGGGCTCTTATCCTTCATTTTGGCCGTAACCCTCAACCATGTATCTTTTCACCAAGACCTGGAAACTGTTAAAGGCTCAAGGGGTAGAGTAGGATAGTGGCTTTCAAACTTTGCTTGAGCATAAATTTTACATAACAAGCCAGTATATACACTAACACACAAACAGCAGGAACCCAAATTTTACCAAATACTAACTAATTCTACTGTGTTCATTGAGATTTGGATATTTTTGTTATTTATTTATTTGTTTTACATTAAAACAAAACAAAAAAAAAAAAGGCTAGTCAGGACCCACCAAATTACATTTATAGTTAAAAAAATTTAAAATGGTGGGAGTGATAATATCATCAGTGTTATAACCTGCATAACTTCAGGGTGAATAGTATGAGTTAAGATTAGCTCAAGGCTGATCTCTCTGAGGTGGAGGTGATATACCTCTGCTCTATACTTTTTTAAAAAAAAAAAAAAAAACAATTCTGATACCAGCTGTCCCTCTTTTGGCACGCTCTACTTCTTTTCTGGGTTCAATAATCTGTTGCACTGGCCACACAGAACTTAGACCATGCTTACAGGTAAGTGGTTTGTTAAGTAACAGGGTACAACTTGGGATCATGGTAAACAGGCTATAATTCAGTCTCTAGATCAATAAGCATGGTGAAAGAGTCTCTGTTCTTTAGTGCAGAACAGCCCTCTAAATTCTTACAGGTTGTGTAGCCCTTCTCTGGGCCCTCTGAAGAAAGGCTCCTCTCAGCACTGCCATCTGTTACTGCAGGGTGGGCCACTGGGCCCCTTCCCATCCCCTAGCTGTCTTCAGTGTTACAACCCTTGACCCATGTTACAGCTTTTTTAGGGGGTTGTCTTCTCTGTCTGCCTTTTCTTTTCCTCTTTCTTCCTTTTGCTGCTGCTCTTCCTGCTTTCTGTCTGAAAACCCTCTGTGGGGTTGACTGCTTATATACACAACTCCTTGTTAATTTCCAGGCATAACCCCTCCCAGTAGGAGAAGGGGGTCATAAACTGACCAGTCCCTTCTCAGTAGGCCACAGATACTTCATTTGCCTAGTAGGTTATGAGTAGTCCATAGTCATTTTATTTGCATGGTTTATCAACTAGTCCCTGCAAAGTGCATCAGTCACAGGAAAGGCTCCAACCCAGGGCCAGACAAAAATTATCAAATCACAGGTTGATTGTAGTTAACTCAGGAAATGGCAGTCAACCTGGACAAAAGTAGCAAGTCTTGTAGGGTAGAAAACTAGGGCAAAGGTAATTCCTCAGGGCTTAGGGGAAAAAAATCTTTAAGCTGTTTTTCCAAAGAACAAGGCAAAGGCCACTTAAAGGAACTAATTTCACAACAACAGTCCATTAATAGGTAGTGACCCACAGTTTGAAAGACACTTGTGTCAGGAAATCTTGATAGAATACTAGTTAGAACTCTCAGAATGCCTAGAGACCTTTTCAGGAGTTGTAACATCTCCAGGATGTTAAAATTTAAAGAGACTTTTATGGGCAACTATAAGAATTTAGCAATTATATGTTAAGTTGTTTAATGGGGAAACTTTTAAATGATCAGAATCTTACTTTATTAGTACTCAATACTTAATTAGTTACAGAATAGGAAAGCTGTGTTGGATTGGGTTCTCTAGAGAAACACAAAAACCAGCAAAGTATATATA